ATTTTCACCATTTTCAGTAAATAAAAAGTTTATTTTCTAACAAAACAATAAATAAGAACAAAACTTGACAAAATATTAAAGCATTTGAATTGTAACTGTTCATTGTTTGGTTATGCCCAGGACTAACAACTCATTGTTCGGTCTTCACAGAAGTCTCTTTAGCTATCATAATTCTAAATCAACTTCTATGTCATCGTCACGCAGCTCAATAAGTGAACTTTCTGGTGCTGCCTCCTCAAGATCCGACAGCATAACGTCAGCAAATGGGTCAGTCGCGCAAGAAGCTGTTAGGGCTTGCTCGATGGATGCCAGGTGATCTTGTCCTGCATGACAAGGTTGACCCTCCTTTAGGCAATGAATCTTATCATCTTCAGATCCATCAGGAGCCACAGTAAGTGCACGGCTTCTAAAAGAATGGATAATTAACTCTCTGTCTAGAGTTTCCCAGGCCTCAAGAACCCACTTGACAATTTGACAACAAGGTGGGCCACGCATGTTTCCTGCAGCTGTAAATGAATGAGCTCCATCAGCCATCCAAGCATCATACTTCTCAGTTACTTTGGCCTTGAAGGGCTTATTCCATGCCACGTCAGGGACTTGGATATACTTAGTACAACCACTGGGTACTATGACAGGGTCGATTTTTGCATGTGGGAGTTCTTGCTTGATGCCGTCTGTGATGTGGCATTTAAAAGAGTCCCAAGCCAACATCTGACGAGTAAATGAGAACTTGCCCAATACTCCTTGCACCCAGTCATGGGTCAGGTCTTCATTCATCCATCCATTCACAGAGGAGGCTACATAAGACTTATTTTTAAACTCCTCATTAAGCTGCTTTGTTTCTCTCTTGGCTCCCGGAAAGACAATAAACGGCTTTAGTTTTGTTCCGTCTGCCTTTGCTGTCAAACAGACAGAGACTTTGGACTTCTCATGTCCTGTTGTCTTCAGTCAAATTAATTTTTCTCCCACATTGTCAACGGTAGTGCTGGACAGCATATCTTGCCAGACAGCTGTTTCGTCCATGGCAATAATGTCACTATGACTGTAGGAATGCCTGTTTCGCTGTCATCGTACTTGTAAGAGATAGGCAATAAGCTTGTCGATAAGTCTGTCCGGGTCTTTCTCTGATTCAGTGGTTCTGCACCTCACAGACAGCCCATTCCTGGCCATAAACTTCTGGACCCAGCCATTACTTGCAATAAAAGATGGAGAAACCTGCCCTGCCTTGCATTTTTGTTCATGAATAACTCGCGCTTTGTGCAAAATTANCATGACAAGGTTGACCCTCCTTTAGGCAATGAATCTTATCATCTTCAGATCCATCAGGAGCCACAGTAAGCACGCGGCTTCTTAAAGAACGGATAATTAACTCCCTGTCTAGAGTTTCCCAGGCCTCAAGAACCCACTTGACAATTTGACAACGAGGTGGGCCACGCATGTTTCCTGCAGCTGTAAACGAATGAGCTCCGTCAGCCATCCACGCATCGTACTTCTCAGTTACTTTGGCCTTGAAGGGCTTATTCCATGCCACGTCAGGGGCTTGGATATACTTAGTACAACCACTGGGTACTATGACAGGGTCGATTTTTGCATGTGCGAGTTCTTGCTTGATGCTGTCTGTGATGTGGCATTTAAAAGAGTCCCAAGCCAGCATCTGACAAGTAAATGAGAACTTGCCCAATACTCCTTGCACCCAGTCATGAGTCAGGTCTTCATTCATCCATCCGTTCACAGAGGAGGCTACATAAGACTTATTTTTAAACTCCTCATTAAGCTGCCTTGTTTCTCTCTTGGCTCCCGGAAAGACAATAAACGGCTTTAGTTTTGTTCCATCTGCCTTTGCTGTCAAACAGACAGAGACTTTGGACTTCTCATGTCCTGTTGTCTTCAGTCAAATTGATTTTTCTCCCACGTTGTCAATGGTAGTGCTGGACAGCATATCTTGCCAGACAGCTGTTTCGTCCTTGGCAATAATGTCACTATGACTGTAGGAATGCCTGTTTCGCTGTCCTCGTACTTGTAAGAGATAGGCAATAAGCTTGTCGATAAGTCTGTCTGGGTCTTTCTGTGATTCAGGGGTTCTGCACCTCGCAGACAGCCCATTCCTGGCCATAAACTTCTGGACCCAGCCATTACTTGCAATAAAAGATGGAGAAACCTGCCCTGCCTTGCATTTTTGTTCATGAATAACTCGCGCTTTGTGCAAAATTATTGCCCTTGAAACTCGAAGGCCACTGGACCTGCGTTCATTTACCCACTCTAAAAGCTCGTCTTCCAAGCCAACATCAAATGGTTTTCTACCTCCTCCTTCAAGATGTTTCCTCCTGTTATCCACAGCCTAAGTTTTGCCGTGGAGCTTTGCCATTTACCAATTCTCTTATGGTCTACATTGAACTTTTTTGCAGCGCTAGAGATGCTTTTACTTTTCTTTGGCAAACTTGATAGCTTCTAATTTATATTCGGTCGAGTATGAACTTACTTTTTTGCCAGCATGACTGAGATGCATCAATCTCCATGCTTTCAGAACAAAGGGAAGATGAAAACGTGACTTGTGTGATTTATATCTTTTTAGACATCACTAGAATCAAATATCTGATCTGTCAGTTTACACATCACATGAATACATGAATGCATGAAGGTGCTAGATCTCACAAGTTTACAATAAGGTAATTACGTGCAAGAACAATAGTCAAAGAGCTCCTGGTACGTAACAGGAAACATGTGTGGCTTCCACTGCAGTCTAGCAAACTGAACAGCTCGCTTTTAGTGCGAGAGCATTTAATGTGAATTCAAAGCCATGGCTCGCTCAAGTTTTCATTAATGTGTTTGAAGTGCAATTCACATCAGTTATACGAGGTCATATTTATAGATCTGTGTGGACTCCAACTTTGGGAGAGAAACTTAATTGCCGCAAGGATGATCGTAATGAAGACAAACAACATGATGGATATGCAATTGGGATGTATTTGGAAGCTAATACCGGCAGCGAGCTTGTAGGACACGTGCCAATGGAACTGCCTTACCTTATCTATATATTTCTGAGAGCTTAGAACAATAATGAGGTTTCTGTTAAGGTAACAGGATCAAGAAGGCTGGAGAACAGACTTGTTGTGCCAGGAACATTCAAAGTGCAGACACCAAACAGGGCTATTGCCAAGAAGTTTGAGCAGGAGATTTTGCAGCTGAAAGAACTTTGCGCCCACATGGACATTTCAGTTGAAACTTTGAGAAAAATTCCCACGTTGTCATAAAATTTTCAGGTGATGAAACCAGAGATTGTAAGCCATTAAAGCAAAACCGTACTAATCAATACCCGTATTCCTCTTGTGCACTTTATTATTTTTTTTTTTTG